AACTCAAAACTCCAGAGAGTAAAACCATGGAGCGGCAGCATGGCTCAGTGGGTGAAAGTACTTTAAAAAAATTATTTATTTATTATGTATACAGTGTACGCATGCTTGCAGGCCAGGAGAGGGCGCCAGATCTCATCACAGATGGTTGAGAGCCACCATGTGGTTGCTGGGAATTGAACTCAGGACCTCTGGAAGAGCACCAGTGCTCTTAACCTCTGAGCCATCTCTCCAGCCCTGGATGAAAGTACTTGGTACCAAGCCTGACACTTGGGTTTGTTCCCTGGGATTTACATGGCTGAAAGACAGAAACTTCAACTCCTACAGGTTATCCTTTGACTCTCTCTCTCTCTCTCTCTCTCTCTCTCTTTCACACACACACACACACACACACACACACACACACACACACACAGAGTGAATTAAATAAATAAAATACAAGTTTTAAGAGGATCAGTGAGACGGCTCAATGGGCAGAGCTCTTCCAGCCAAGCCTGATGTCCTGAGTTCCGTAGGAAGGATCATAGTGAAATAACGACAAGGAAGGGGACAAGAGCTACTCTTGGTGTATAAGGGGAATGTGTGTTTTTATAACCAGGCGGTGGTGGTGCACGCCTTTAATCTCAGCACTTGGGAGGCAGAGGCAGGCGGATCTTTGTGAGTTCGAGGCCAGCCTGGTCTACAGAGCAAGATCTAGGAAAGGCGCAAAGCTACACAGAGAAACCCTGTCCGGAAAGAAAAAAAGTATTTTTATGCTGGGTGATGGTGGCACACGTCTTTAATCCTTGTAATTAGGAGGCAGAGGCAGGTGGATCTCTTTGAGTTTTAGGCCAACCTGGTCTAAGGAGTCCCAGGACTATGCAGAGAAACCCTGTCTTGAAAATTAAAAAAAAAAAAAAAGCATTTTCCCATGTATGTGTCTTTGTGAGTATTTGCCATGGGAGTGTGGGGGGCCGTGGCTGAGGAGGCCAGAAGAGGGCATCTGAATCCCTGAAGCTGAAGTTATAGGTAGTTGTAAGTATATCATCATTGGTGCTGGGCACTTAATTTGGGTCCTCTGGAAAAGCAGCAAGCACTCTAAACCACTAAGTCATCTCTCCAGCCCAGCCGTCTTCGTATCCCAGATCATCTCTGAATCACTTGGAATAGCTAATACAACATTGAGCCTATGTGTATAGTCTGTACTGCATTGCTTAGGAAAAATAGGAAAATCTGTACTTGCTTAGTATCGATACAATGCTTTTACTTTTTTCTATGTTTTTTTTTATTTTGCAATACAATTCAGTTCTACATATCAGCCACGGATTCCCTTGTTCTCCTCCATCCCGCCCCCCCTTGTTGTTTTTATTTTAAAGAGGGGTTCTGGTGGCCCAGGACGGCTTGAACTTCAGTTCTTCCTGCCTCTGGCTCCCAGTTCCTGATATTATAGGTCTATGCTACCACACTAGACGCAACTTTTTTTTCTAGCTCTTTTTGATGTACAGTTGGTTGAATCCTGGGGTGTAAAGGGCTGATTACTGCAGTGGAAAGCCTGGCCCACATAGCTTTGGACCCACATTTTCTCTGAGATGACTACTTGCTGGTTAATACTCCTGCCTGATTCCAGGTGACACACTGAACTTACATTCAAAGATGATGGCTCTCTGTTCACACTCACAGGGTAACTTACTTTGTCTAGACTAGTTGGGGTGTGGGAGCCCCTTTTCAGGTTCCTTGTGGCTTTACCCAGCAGGTCCGCATAGAGAGGATAATTAGGACCACGGGCCTGAGTGCAGGTGTCTGAGATGGTCTGCACTTGGCTGTGCTGGGGGAGGAGGTCTTTTGCTCCACCTCTTGGCGTCTCTATAAAAACCCTGAGACAGAGACAGTCAGGGCCGTTGGAGTAGGTTCCAGGCCCTCTTGAGGATATCCTTTATTTTCTATCTGTTCCTCTCCACACTCTAAATCCTTCTATCTAATATTTCCTGCTGCTTGCACTCAAGAATACTCTGGGGAACTGTGGGGTTGGTGGGTAAAATGCCCTGCATCGGTGGGCGTGGCTGGGCCCGACAGTTTTCATTCTCCATTCCTGCCATGATAGAGCCAATCTTGGTTTTGTTTTGGATTTGGGTTTTGGTTTTTTTAAACAGTTTCTCTGTGTAACAGCCCTAGCTGTACTGGAACTAGCTCTGTAGACCAGGCTGGCTTTGAACCCATGGAGATATGCCCGTCCCTGCCTTCTGAGTGCTGGCCTTCTGAGTGCTGGAATTAAAGGCATGTGCTACCTGGCAGAGCCATTTTTATTTAATAATTGATTTATTTTTTTATTTAATGTGCATTGGTGTTTTGCTTGTTTGTGTGAGGGTCCCCTGGAACTGGAGTTACAGTTGTGAGCTGCCATATGGGTGCTGGGAATTGAATCCGGGTCCTCTGGAAGAGCAGTCAGTGCTCTTAACCGCTAAGCCATCTGTCCAGCACCCAATCTTTTTTATAGTAACTTTTTTTTTTTAGATTTATTTATATTTATTATGTACACAGAAGAGGGCGCCAGATCTCATTACAGATGGTTGTGAGCCACCATGTAGTTGCTGGGAATTGAACTCAGGACCTCTGGAAGAGCAGTCAGTGTTCTTAACCTCTGAGCCATCTCTCCAGCCCAACTTTTTTTTTTTTTAATAATAACTTTAGCAGACCAGATGACCCCTTCCTTCCTTCCTTCCTTCCTCCCTCCCTTCCTTCCTTCCTTCCTTCCTTCCTTTCTTTCTTTTAATAGTTTTTTGAGACAGGGTTTCTCTGTGTAGCTTTGCACCTTTCCTGGAACTCGCTTTGGAGACCATTATGGACTGGCCATAAATGCGTCTGTTTGTTTCTGGGTTCTCTTGTGTGTTACACTCTTAGGCGGTGTGTGCTCTGGTCACTGTGGCTCATGGTGCCTTCTGAGATTAGGTACTGTGATGCATTCACTCTTGATTCTTTTGCTCAAGACTTGTTGAAAGTTTGAGATTATGTGGCTCCACATAAAACTTTCAGGATTGTTTTTCTGTGGTTATGCAGAATGTTATTGGAATTTTGACAGAGATTATAGAGTCTAAATCATTTTGAATAGTTTGTCCACTTCTTTCTTTCTTTCTTTTTTTTTTTTTTTTTTGGATTTTTTTGGAGACAGGGTTTCTCTGTGGTGTTTTGTTGCCTGTCCTGGATCTCACTTTGTAGACCAGGCTGGCCTCATACTCACAGAGATCCGCCTGCCTCTGCCTCCCAAGTGCTGGGATTAAAGGCATGTGTCACCAACGCCCGGCAACCCCTTTCTTTCTAGTGAATTCACTTGTGAAGTTTCTTGCCAACAGGCTGATAGCCCAGTCTTAAGTTTCTTTAACTTCAAACTTTGGACAGTGGAGGCTTATGATTTCCTTTCTGTTAAAAGGTCTCTGGATAGCCTGCTGTGGTGGTGAATTCCTTTAATCCCAGCACTCGGGAGGCAGAGTCAGGAGGATCTCTGTGAGTTCGAGGCCAGCCTGGTCTATGTAGCGAGATCCAGAATAGCCAAGGCTACACAGAGAAACCCTGTCTGAAAAACAAAACAAAACAAATAGTATTGTCTATCAGTTTCCTGTGATTGTCACAACAAATGACCACACCTCGTGGTGTAAAGAGACAGCAATGTATTTACTCACAGTTCTAGAGAGTAGAAATCTGCAGAGAAATACTTCTTGACCTTTTGACTAACATCATATGAAGAAGCTCACACCCACGATGTTGGTGATGCCAAGCCACCAAAGACTCCAGGAGAGAATCCTTCCTTGTCTCTTCCAGCTTCTGGTGGTTTTGGCTTGTGGCCACACAACTCAAATCTCTGCCGTCATCTTTATCTTGATGGGGTCTCCCTGCAACCTCCTGTCTCCTGAGGCCCAGGCTTGCTTTGAAATCACTGTAGGACCCAAGCTAAGAACTCAGACACTCCTCCTACCTCTGGATCTCAAGGGCTGGTAGTATTGGTGTGAACCACTTCATCTGCTTTAAGAGTCTTTGTTTCTTTCAAGACTTTTCCCAAATCAGATCATGTCCCTAGTATTCATGGACTAGGGTATGAAAACCATTTGGCGCCCCACTCTCCACTCAGCCCAGTCATGCTACTTTATAGATGAGGGAACTTTGGCTGACAGAGATTGGGGGACTTGCTCCAGGTAAATTAGACTACCTGTACCACAGAGTGCTGCCCTATGGAGAGGAAAGCAGATTTGACACCCTGAAGAAGTCTTGTCGGATGCTAAACATTTTTTCATACCTTACATGTGTAAGGGACAAATCAATTTGATCACCTCCAGGTCAGCTTCTAGTTTCAGAAGGGCCTCACTGAGCACAGCATTATGTTACATCATTAAATTAAGACCCACTGGCCGGGTGGTGGCGGCTCATGCCTTTAATCCCAGCACTTGGGAGGCAGAGGCAGGTGGATCTCTGTGAGTTCAAGGCCAGCCTGGTCTATAGAGCTAGTTCCAGGACAGCCAGGGGCTACACAGAGAAATTTTGTCTTGAAAAACCATAAGAAAAAAAAAATCCACTATTCTATCCCAGAGACATTAGAAATGGGACAATTGAAACTCACGGCCTCAGCCTAGCCAATAAATTCAGCTTCAGTATTCCCTGAAATGGAACAATGGAAAAGGGCCTGTGTTTGCTCTCTGGTGAGATTCTTGACTCTTATGGGCTTGTCACTGAACATAAGATGGGAAGGTTGAAAAATATAAGTCTGGATTATACACCATGTCAAATAAAAGATTTCAAGTCTTGAGCATACTTTGTAGTCTCAGTATTTAGGAGGCAGAGATAGAGTCAGGTCTTCGAGGCCAGTCTTGGCTGCATAAGATCTTGTTAAACATACTGCCCCGCCGGACCCCCCCCCCCCCCCCCCCCCCCGAAAAAAAGCCAACAACAACCAACCAAGATTGCAAATGTCTTGTGAGGGGAGTCTGCAAGTTTTATGGTCCTTCAGCTCAGAGATGGATCTGTGGTTATGGAGCTTATTAGTCAAAAACTTGGTTTGGATTCCTCAGAAACTTTAACCACCGGAAAATCATCACTATTAGAAAGAGTAATATAAAGGTAACAAAGGCAAGCGTGAGGCCTTTGTTCAGATCAAAACCACTGGGTAGGCTGGGGTCTTCCATGAGGACACACACCTCCTACTGTCTTCCAGACACAGATACCTCCTCAGACATGTCTTCAGATTTGTCGGCTTTCTAGAAAAGAAGAGCATAAACAGGTTCTTTTGGGGTCTATGCATGTGCATGCCTGCACTTCCTCAGTAGCAGCGTGTGGAAACTAAAGAGACCAAGGGTTGGAAAAAAGTGATCAAGATTTATTTAAGAGCCAGGCTTGGTAGCACACACCTTTGATGCCAGCACTCAGGAGGCAGAGTCAGATTGATCTCCGAGAGTTCAAGGCTAACCTCTACATAGCAAGTTCTGGGTCAGCTGGAACTACACAGTGAGACACTGTCTCAAAAACAAGAATAAAAAATCTTCAACATTCCCAATTTTGTATCCCTCCCGAAATTTTCTTCTAATTCCTAGGATACCTATTGTACATAATTGATGGAATTTTTCTTTTCTTTTCTTTTGTTTTTCGAGACAGGGTTTCTCTGTGTAGCTTTGGGGCCTGTCCTGGATCTCAAATTGTAGACCAGGCTGGCCTTGAACTCATGGATATCCTCTTGCCTGTGCCTCTTGAGTGCTGGGACTAAAGGCTTGTACCACCATGCCTGGCATCAGTGTTACCTTTTTTTTTTTTTTTTTAACATTTAAAATTTTTTTGGGGGGCATGGGGAGCAGTTTTCGAGACAGGGTTTCTCTATTTAGCTTTGGAGCCTGTCCTGGAACTCACTCTGTAGCCCAGGCTGGCCTCAAACTCACAGAGATCTGCCTGCCTCTGCCTCCCGAGTGCTGGGATTAAAGGCATGCAGCAGGACAGCCCAGCTGCCTGGCTTATTTCTATTTTTAAATATGTGTATGCCATGTGTTGTAACTAGAGTTTTCCTGCCTTGCCCATAGTCAGGACAAATCTCTAGTTACAAATGGCACCCAACGTGTTGGCAAGAGTTTCCACCTAAAACCTGAGAAAAAAGATTCTAAAACGGAGCAAAAAACAGTTTCTAGTTGTCTCTCTCAAGTTAGTGGCAGTCTGCGTGTTTGAGCTACTATGGCGGGTTCCTGGTGTGCGTCCTCGACCTGCAGTATGGCAGGAATGAGACGGGAAAGTGGCACATTAAGCTGTGTGATGGATTTAGCCTTTGCTAGTACAAAACAAAAAAAAGAGGTTTCTGGGCTACATGCTGCTTTGATAGAAGCATAGACCCACTATTTCTGAGAGTTGATGGCTCCCAGAGCTGGCGGAAAATGTACCACCACCATGTTGGGAAGCTGAAGTGGGCGGAGCCAGCAGCCACAGTGCTGTTTCAGTCTTGGAATGCTGCAGTTTAAAGCAATAGGCTCAAGGTAATATAAAAATAAGCCACGGAAAGATGGCTACCACACAGACAATCTGGATTATGTTCTCTTTGATATTCATAACTGAATAAAAACATTTGATTACAAAAGCTGTTGAGTTATGCCAAAATGTATGGTTTTTTTTTTTTTTTTTTTTTGGTTTTTCGAGACAGGGTTTCTCTGTGTAGCTTTGCGCCTTTTCCTGGAACTTACTTGGTAGCCCAGGCTGGCCTCGAACTCACAGAGATTCTCCTGGCTCTGCCTCCCGAGTGCTGGGATTAAAGGCGTGCGCCACCACCGCCCGGCCAAAATGTATATTTTAAAGGTACCTTGGCTTCAAAATTTGGATGTAAGGATATGTTGCTTTGGAAAGGAGGCTCTGCTTTTGTTTCCACAGAAAGCCAGAGGCTATGAATTTGTTCCAGATTAAGATATATCAGGTTTGACCAGCCAAGACCCTGAAAGGTCTCCGATGACACCAAGGTCCAGATGATCCAATATCCAGAACTGTTTCAAGGCAACTGGTTCAGACGATACACCCTCACGGACTCTTCCATAATCCTAAAATTTTCTTTGTGTCCCCAATAGATACAGCGCCCCCCTCCAGCAGGAAGTAGTAAGAGAAGCTACACCCAAATTCCCAAATATACCAAGCTGGCTTTGGAGATATGTAAAAGTTAAAACCTTCCTCTTTAGCCGGGCGGTGGTGGCGCACGCCTTTAATCCCAGCACTCGGGAGGCAGAGCCAGGCGGATCTCTGTGAGTTCGAGGCCAGCCTGGTCTACAGCGCGAGATCCAGGAAAGGCGCAAAGCTACACAGAGAAACCCTGTCTCGAAAAAACAAAAAAAAAAACAAACAAACAAAAAAAAAAAACCTTCCTCTTTAAAAAAAAAAGAAAAAGGGGAAGTGCTGTGGGATGGTCTGTATGGCAAATGTGTTGCTCTGATTGGTCAATAAATAAAACACTGATTGGCCAGTGGCCAGGCAGGAAGTATAGGCGGGACTAACAGAGAGGAGAATTGAGAGAATTCTGGGAAGTGGAAGGCGGAGGAGAGAGACACTGCCAGCCGCCACCATGACAAGCAGCATGTGAAGATGCTGGTAAACCACAAGCCACGTGGCAAGGTATAGATTTATAGAAATGGATTAATTTAAGATATAAGAACAGTTAGCAAGAAGCCTGCCATGGCCATACAGTTTGTAAGCAATATAAGTCTCTGTGTTTACTTTGTTGGGTGTGAGCGGCTGTGGGACTGGCGGGTGACAGATTTGTCCTGACTATGGGCCAGGCAGGAAAACTCTAGCTACAATGTGTGTTTGGTGTCTATGGAAGCCAGAGAAAATCATATCCCCATTGAAGCTCACAATCATTCAACCCAGGGGCTAAAAAGTTAACTTACTTCCTTTGAAAGAGCAGCAAGTGTCATTAACCACTGAAGCATCTCCGCAGGCCTGATTGTGTTATCTTAGCTCAGTGGGTATTAACATAACATTGTCTTTGTTCTGATTAGTTTACTATATTGTCATTCTCAATTCTTGATGAAAAATCATGTACATCCAGAGATCAACTTCAATGATTAAAACTAAGTTCATCAGGGCTAAATTGATTACCCACCAGAGAACTAGGTGGTAAGAACCCATCACTGGGGATGCCTCAGGTTACAGGACATGGAAAAATCAGTCTGGAGCTGAAAAGGAAGATTCCTCCTTGCTGGCTGTATTTCATAATGTTGAAAGGTGCTGTGCAGACTGATGGGGATTGGAGGGAGTTATTAAAAAAATGGCTCAATGGTTAAGAGCATTGTTGCTCTTGCAAGGAAACTGGATTTGGTCCCCACACACGTCAGCTGACAAGCTGTAAGTTAGGTTCTGGGGAATTCGATACTATCTTCTGACCTCTGGAAAATCTAAGCACACACATGGTACACATACATACATGTAGGCAAACATTTGCACACATTTAAAAAGTTTTACGTTTTACCCATTTATGAGCTCCTATGCACTGCACAGTCAAAGTACCAGGTACAGTTGTGTTCACTGGTGATAGACTGTTATGGGGGGTAACCTATTGCTTTTTGATGAAACTTGAGACACGTTCCACAGGAGGGAATTTATGCTTGGTACTGTAAACCTGGTCAGAATTCTGTAGCCAGAGACATCATAGGCCCTACCGTGGAAGCTGATACTGTTGTTTTATTCCATAGGCATATTGGACCCATCAAACTACTTTGTAAGTGTTTATGTTCATGCTCATAGGGTGGTGCTTCTCTCGGCGTTGAGAGGAGAGGGCTCATTTTCCAGCGGCTTTGTGGATACTGCAGAGACTCACAACTGTTCCAAATGCTGAGACTGAGTGACTGTTTAGTGATCACCTATATATCACCTCCCTCCAAGGCTTCAGAGAACACTGTGGAAGGTGAGCGAGCCAGAGGACAGGGAGAAGGCTGTCTTTTGAACACGGTATGATTTTTGAACTCAGGGCTCCAGGTTGTCTGTGGTCACCTGCCCAAGACTCAGATGAAATTGCATCTGTCAACACCATCATGTGGATACAGAAGAGGACTCATGAGGCCCATGCCTCCCTGAGGAGCTATTGGCACTTAGTAGTTGCTAAGTGAGGAGGAGACATTTCTTGCAGGTAAGTTGTCAATGTCCTGGTAAGTCAGTTTCCACCAATACACATAAGCAGTTCTAATTAAACACAATGCGTCTCATATAAACTTGTATAAACATATACACAACATGAACATAGAAGGGAGACTAGATGAAGAGCTTCAGATGGTGGGGAAGAGGTACAAGAGAAGATAACAGTGAGTGTGATCAAAATACAGTATATGAATCTATGAAATTATCAAAAAATGAATTAACTAAACTTTAAAAGCACGTGGTCTATCAGAACAATTCCTGGGGTTCTGTTTTGAAGTAATGAAGATGTAAAATGTGATGAGTATACTAACAACGATTGAGTTATACAGTTTGGATGGCCAGAGTGTGTGTCAATTATGTATTTTTGAAGTTATTTAAAAAAACAGCCTGACTGCTTTGACAGTTTTCGGTTTTATAGATGATTCAGATTTTCATAGCTCTTCTCCCTCTTGAGGTCCCAGCTTCTCCAGGGAGAAGGGACAGAGAGAAAGAAACCGGGAGAAGTGAGTGTTTCTCACTTAATGACCTCAGTGTAGCTACAGTGAGTCAACGACCTGGTTGTATTCTGTTTAAATCTGGTCGGTTGAGTGAAGGGTATTTATGGGTTTTTGAGTAATGTTAATCTTCATTCTAGACTGTCATTTAGGACCCATTAAAATAGCACTCGCTTAAGCAGAGTGCAATGTCACATGCCTCTAATCTCAGCATGATGGAGACCAAGACAGGAGGATACAGAATTTCTGCTACTTAGGCCTCATAGCAAGACCTTGTCTCAAACAGCAACACACGTCTCATCCTACCCCAGAATGGCTCACTGCTGGGTGCCATGGCATCCAGGCACCCCTCAGTGTGCTTGTTCCTCCTGAGATACTTGGTGCCCTTTAAGTGGAGCAGCTAAACTGAGGAGTTGTGAAATCAGTCGTATTATTTTCCCTTGGCAGAGCTCACCAGTGTCAGTACAATCCCTGCTGACACTGATTACACCAGTGGCTTCCACTTTCAGGGCCCTCTTGCCAAATTTGTGTGTTGACACAAGATAAATGTACACTAAATATTTCACTGAACCTTGATTAAAGAGGGTTGACAGGTCCGGGGGGGGGGGGGGGGGCATGGATCAGTGGGTTAAAGTGCCTGTTGTGTAAGTATGTGGACCTGAGTTCAGATGCCCAGCACCCACGTGAAAGCCAGTACCTGGTCCCTGTAACCCCAGTGCTGGGAAAAGGAGACAGGTAGGTCTTGGGGGAGACAGTTAGACTCCCGGCCAGTCTAACTGAACTGGTTACCTGTAGGTTCAGTGAGAGACACTATCTCAAAAGGCTAAGATAGGAGGCTAGAGAGACGCTCAGTGGTGGAGAGCACTTATTCTTGCAGAGGCTCCTGGTTCCAGTCCCAGAAGCCACTGAAACTCCAGCTCTAGGGAATCTGAAACCGTCACTTTGAAGCACCACTCAGGTGGCACATGGACAAATGTTAGCAAAGCACTTATACACAAAGATAAAACACATCTTTTAAAAATTTAAGAACATGCCGGGCGGTGGTGGCGCACGCCTTTAATCCCAGCACTCAGGAGGCAGAGGCGGGTGAATCTCTGAGTTCAAGGCCAGCCTGGTCTACAGAGTGAGTTCCAGGACAATCAGGACTACCCAGTGAAACCCTGTCTCAAAACAAACACACTAGCTCTGGCTGACTCAGAACCTGCTATGTAGACCAAGCCGGCCTTGAACTCTCCACCTTCTTCTCTCCTCTCTCCTCTCTGCCTCAGCCTCCAGAGTGCTGGGGTGTTTGTTTGTCTTTTTTTCCTTACCAATCACAGATACTCTTGCATTTTGCCCTTCTCACTTAGTGATTATCTTGGAAGGTTGCAGACGTGGTTTGGAGGTAGGCAGAATGCTTACCAAGCAAGTTCAAGACCCGGGGTTCAGTTTTTCTAGCACTGAAAAAAAGCCAAGCCAGGCACAGTTTCTATTGCTAGCTCCGCCTGTGCCTGCTGCACTACAGCCTCGACAATGAAATGTGTTATCTGTCGGTCAGTGGCACAGGGACTGAATCACTTGTGCAAGGTCCTGGGGCACTGTCCCCAGCGCCCTAACAACAAATGGACCAGCAGTTAAGAAATCTGGCTGCTCTTACAGAGAATCCAGTTCAGTTCTCAGCACCCACAAGGCAGCTCACAGCTTGCAACTCCAGTTCCAGGGACCCTCTTATGCCCTCAGAGTACAGGGCACACATGTGGTGTACAAACATAGATGCAGGCAAAACACTCATACACATAAAAGTAAATCAATCTTTATCAAAAAAAGGTGTTTTTCCATTGTAAGTTTTTTTTTTGTAACTTATATGAAACCACAAAAGTCCTTTGATAGCCAAAAGAGTGCTGGAAGGATTACAACCCCAAATCTCAAGATATATTACAGAGCCATAGTAATAAAAACAGTATGGTGGTGGCACAAAACAGACATGGAGACATGGAACAAAACTGAAGACCCAAACTTTAGTACACATAACTTCAGCCACTTCAAAGTTCACAAAGATGTCAAAAATAAAAGCTGAAGAAAAGAAAAGCATCTTCAACAAATGAGGCTAGGGAAACTGGCTGTCCACATGCAGAAGAATGTATTAGACCCACATTTATCAACCTTGTACAAATCACTAACTCCAAATGGATCAAAGACCTAACTATGAAACCCGAAATACTGAAACCACTAGAAGAAAGCACAGGTGTACAAGAAAGCAAGCATGATATAGGTGGAGGAAAGGACTTCCTGAATAGGACTCTATTTGCCCAAAAATTAAGGTCAACAATTGACAAATAGGAATTAATCATAAAACTAAAAAGCTTTGGCACAACATAAGGAACAATGACTTGGGTGAAGGGAAAGCCCACAGAGTGGGACTCTGCCAGCTGTACCTCTAACAGATAATTGATATCCAGAACAGAGGGAAAACTGTGTGAAAAAATGACCCATGTGAAAAATCAGAAAGCTCTTAGATGAATAAAAAAAAAAAAAAGGCTAAAAAATATCCCCAAAGGGGGCTGTTGCAATGACTCGGCCATTAAGAACACTGGCTGCTCTTGCAGAGGACCTGGGTTTGATTCCTTTGTCTCAAAACACAAACATAACCATCATAATACATTGTACCCTCATGCTTTTCAGAGGAATTCATGAAAAGCAAAGCATGAGGAAAAGACCTGCTGTCACCATTCAAACTGCAGAGAGAAATAAGTGCCAATGGACCTCCTGGGAGAGTGGTTAACTGGCTTTTATACATAGATAAAACTAAAGTCTTGTTTGAGAAAACTAATTAGCTCTGGAGTAGTGGTATCCCTGCATGAATAGTGAGCTTGAGACCAGCTGGAGCTGCATGAGGTCCTGTCTCAAAAAAACAACAGATATTTGTAGGCAGAAGATTCTGTTCTGCCAACAACTCCCAAATACCCAGCAGCTACTTCTCAAATCCACACAGAAGCTTATATTAATTATAACTGCTTGGCCATTAGCTCAGGCTTATTACTGACTAGCTCTTACACTTAAATTAACCCATAATTCTTATCTATGTTTAGCCACGTGGCTTGGTACCTTTTCTCAGTTTGACATTCTCATCTTGCTTCCTCTATGTCTGGCTGGTGACTCTTCCCTCATTCTGTCCTTCCTCTTCCCAGCATTCTTAGCTTGTTGACCTCGCCTATACTTCCTGCCTGGCTACTGGCCAATAAGCATTTTATTAAACAAATTCGAGTGACAAACCTTTATAGTATATAAGAGCATTATCCCACAGCATTTCCCCTTTTTTGTTT